ACTCGAAGCGGCTGCTCGTTGTCAGTGGAAAGCAAGAAGGAAACGGCTCTGAAGAAAGCGAAATCACAGAAAAGTCAGCAACTTTCTCCTGCCTTATGTATTTTTGTGCGAGGGAAAACGTGTGCTGTAAAACAACTTCGCGATTTCTGGAAAAGAAAACGGCACATTTATCACCTAATATCCAGATCCATAGGAGGTCAATTCAGAGAACTATTGTCCACAACGTGTGTACTGCAATGCACTTCTAACTACTGCGCTACACGCGCCCTTTACTTAACGAATACGACACTTCTAATCGTCCCATGTACATCACACTGGCTTAACTGCCAGCTCTTACCGGATCTATGTGCGAGAGACAGCCCAGAATTTCATCCCATGCCTCCGTCTGCATTCCAGGATCTGAGATCCAGGTCACTTTTGCTCCTCTTCTAATAACCTGCTGTTGTTGTTAATGTACAAATCACTACGGCGGTGACTGTTTCGAGAGGAACAGCTTCTTCGGATGCAATCACCCCTAACCTATGAGGATGTGTCCTTGTGACGATCCACATCGAACAGTCTTCCAACATGTTATGACCAACCTACAACGTCTACATTCCATATTGCTTTAATCGGTAAACCTGCAACCTTACTGAAAAAAGGAGACCAATTCAAGAACATGGGCGAACTAATCCACTATATCGTTGAGTAGTTCGAATCCGTGATTCTCCCATATCGGTGCAGAGAACTCTCGTCGTAGGTTTTCGCGCTCTAATCGACTTATCCGCGGAAGAGTAGTTGCATTTTGGCAGCGCGGATTCCAGGAACCGGATACTTGAATGGGCTGCCCTTGTGTGAGCCCCAGCAAAATTTCCACTTTTCGGAGTTTTGCTGGCTTAGCCATTGTGGTTCTCTGGACTAGGTCAGCCAGACCAAGGTCTGCCCCAGGTGGTCACCACCACAGGCCGTCGCCGCCGTTGTGGACCAGAAAGAGATTTCCCACCATGCGGCTAGTTTGATACCAGGAAGGTGGTAGATCCTGGTATTCGTTTACTCTTAGCTAGGTTTACTAATGGTAACGCCGGACTCTTTCCCAGCTTGGGAGACGAATCCCCCACTGTACACGTTAGACAACAGTCTCAGCGGAGAGCAGGAGGGAAACCGCTCTGAAGAAAGCAAGACCACCGAAACATCACCACAGCAATGTATTGAGGAAATCTTGCTATTAACAACGTCATGTTTGCTCATCAAAAAAACTGTGGATCATTGATGCTTAATGAAGTTGGATGCATTGCGTATCCGCAGGTTGTTCAACGCCGAGAGATTTATCTTTTTTTAAAGTTGGTAATATTGAATAGAAGGAATTGGTAGCATTGTAGTAGTGAGATCGTTCGGTACGTGCACCGCATTAGTTCGACGTTACTCTAGGTCACCCAAGCTTCCCATCCCAAAGTCGTTGCATTGGTACCAGAGTTCAGACTTCTAAGCTCCCTGCCACGAAGCCGACCCATGAATACCCCAAGAGCAAACTTGTCCCAAGATTGACTTTTGGACAGTAAAAATCGACTCGGAAAGCATCCACGGAAATTCATAAGGAAGGCGACAATCTTCAAGCAACTGTCAACCTCACACGTGAAAAGTACGAAGACTTTTATAAATGGTGGATGAGAAGAAACGAATCGAATGGGAAAAGACTGCGATCCTCACAACAGAAGATAAGTGTTGCAAAAGAAATCTATGCAGTGTATGAAAACCATTTTTAAAAAGCAGCAAAAATGTTTATTCCTAATAAACTGATATCCTATCAGCAGAAATTCACCTGCAGTGAGATCGCTGGCATTCTCTAGTATTCTCCCTCTGTCGTAGCCCTTATGATTTGTTCCCTAGTTAAGATTTGTCCTGGCTAAAACGACTATTTTGTAGCGAGAAATTTTAGATTCTAAAATCAAGCTAGCTTTCTACTCCTCTACGTAGCTTTGAAAACTACAGATGGCAGTGTAGACTGGCTGTAAGATTCAGAACTAACCGTTATCCAGTTCCTTTCGTGGCGATTTCATGTACATTTTGCTAGCGCTACAAAGTTAGACCTGTGTTATTCTAACAGAATTTCATCACAAACGTAGGCCGTTACATTTCCGATAAAGAAACACGATGATGGGTTTGTAAATTTAGACGGCTTTGATGGAAACACGGATTCCTATCGGCAGTGTCTTATATCCAATCCGGAACCCAGTGAAGATCAAACCTTTGCAAGCTAATTTCTGACCAAAGGCAAAAAAAGGGCGAAATGCACCATACTGAAGGTGTGTGGGTCTTCTTTGAAAAACTAGACTGTCATTTAGTTCAATTATTATGATCGTAGCCAGAGTCAGAGTTATCACTTTCAGATGGCATGAAAGATTCTTTCAGTGTTCTGTGACGGCTACCTTTCTTTGGTCTTAACATATAACATTCTATATTTTTAGAAGAAAAACCGCCCATCAAAAAACAACGTTGCTTGGTGAAGGAATAAATCTTGAACAGAACAATAGGATGAACGCAAAATAGGAGTCGGTGATATACCACAACCTCAAAAGAACACTAGCTTCAAAGGACAAACAGATTTTTTTGCACACAACCGTTTCGTACCACTAAAATTCACAAATCCAAATCTCTTTATTCTCGCTAGTTCGAAGAGGCCTTGAAAGGTCATTTTTTATTGTGCTGTCGGAATAACTTGCATATTTTATTGTTAATCTACAAACGCGATTGTACACCGTGATAAAACTGGTACCACTCTGGCGTCTATAAAAGTCTGAATCTCGTCCTTCAACTCCTAAAAACAACGATTTTATTTGCTGTTGCCACAAGTTCGTCGATAAACGGCTATTCACTCTTAGCCCATCACCTGCAGATGTGCATCATTTTCAAGAAGACTCGGTTTGATGAGGTCTAACATATCTGTATCCTTAACACAGTTAGCGTGTTCTGGATATAGAGGTAGTAGTAAGCGCATCGCATTTAGTGTCCGTTCGGTTAGTCGAGGATCTGGTGTTGACAGAAGATTTGGTAGAACGAAGAACACACCTAAAATCACATGACATTAATCACCGGCATAACGGAGGTTAGTCAATAAACAACATGGTGCGTTCACACAGAATGGTGAATAGAGGGAGTGGATTAAGTGAATAGGATCCGCCGTGACCGATGCACTTATATGCCTGGAATGGAAAAGTAGACGATGAAGCGCTCCGCGTTTATCAAACCTTGAGCCAGACCCATCCCTTTGACTTCATCGAGGAACGTAGAGGCGATTAAATTTATATTTGGACTGTAGAATGGCTTACGATGGGCTTGTCAATGAGTTTAGTTAGTGTTTTTCATCTTTCCATGAAAGTTTTATACCAATTAGACGACTCATGACGGCTTAATCGGGATCGAACGTACTAATGTGTTTACTGCTTAGCACCTCTGATCACTTGCTAAACTTACCTTATCTTTCGTATACTTAATACTTCACACTTGAACAGCCCATCCTTACTGGGTGTGCGGGTCCCAGCATAATTTCCATTTTTCGGAGACTTGCTGGTTAAGCCATTGTGGTTGCTTGGAATCCCGAGGTCAGTCTGGCCAAAGTCTGCCCCAGATCTTCACCACCACAGCCGCAGCCCCTGTGGATCAGAAGGAGATTCACCATCATGCGGCTTTGATACCAGGACGATGGTGGATCCCGGTAGTGGTTTACTCTTAGCTAGGCTTCCTGATGGGAATGCCGGACCCTTCTCAGCTTGGGAGAGCCTGCCAGGTGGATGAATCCCCGCTGTACATCGCAGTCCGAAATCCAGAAACCACTTCCCAGCCACGATGAGGTGGTAAAGCGTTGGGAGCTATCTTTCGTATACATGTAATAATTCTCCTCTATAAGTGGAGAAATGTGCCAGGGGACATTTCAACGTTATATTACAAGATTAGTCGTCCGCGAAGTGAAAAAATCACAAATCTATTCCGGAAGTGATTGGAAATCCACCGTTCGGTATCTTTTCATTGAGAACTGTGACGCTACAGCGAGTAGAACCCATCGAGAAGCTGGGCACGATGGAAACAAATGGAGACTCAGAGCATACAAAAGATGCTCAATGTTTGCACCAAAAAATCCAATTGATTTAAGAGATAACCCAGTAGCTAGATAAACCATGTGGAAACGAAGCCCAACTCAAGACCGCACGCGCTTCTTCAGTTTTCTTTTCCTAAATTCATTCTTTGCCAATTTAAGAAATTTCCGTGACAAACAGATTTCGTACCAGATCCTATCATCAGTCCAATCCTATCACGGTTTGCACCAGTAAGCAAATTAACAATGGTCCACATACATTCCTGAAATAATTTCAGGATAAGGAGGAGCCCATTAACAGGGTGTATTTTTTATGCTATGATGTTATAAGATTCAATAACTTGAGAGACTAATTGAATAGATGAATAGTCGCTCTTCATTGAAAATGGTGTGGGTTGCTGCGCAAGTTCCATTTCATTTGTTGCAGTTTGAGCGAGGTTTCTTCCAGATTGCACCAAGGAGTTGCCAGACCGTTACTTCAGACAGTCTACAGCCCTTGTAGATCGGATGGAGGCATGTCATACTAGTTGGTCTCTTCCCAGATGGCAGCGTATCCACACCATCAGCATGTAGGTGAAGAACTCTCTTTTAGTGCTTGAGTAAGGGACCTTGTTTATGAACCTCTTGCTGCAAATCACAGCTTCGAAACAAGTAACTCACTCTGGCCACGACAAGGTGGCAAACTATTGGCAGGGATTTGCCCTCTAACCAAATAAAGAACTAAACAGTGGCCTCATTGACTATTCTTGTTCGAAGTGTGCTGCCCTTTTAAGTGGTTAAAACACCGTGGACTATTGTGAATTTCACCGAGCAACGTGTGTGGTATTTATTTTGTATTAATTGAGATTGTTCGAAAGATTGTCTTTAACGTACTTGTGAAACCCAACCAGAGCTATTCTATTTCCCAATGTCTCGTCATACGAAATATTTGTTGCAGCCGATCATCGACGTAGTAAGAAGACTCGCTAACTAACCTTCTTGAATTTTCTCTCTGGTGATTCTACACCTTCGAGGAGCATTGCGTACACATTCTCATCCACGAACAGCAACTAAATGAGTATGAATTTGAACGTAAAACAAATTCCTTGTCCATTATCTGATAGATTCCATGGAAAAAAAGGCGTTTGTTCAAAAAGGTAAAAAGCATCCGATCAGCCCTCCATAGACGTTTTAATAGAATCTGGTGAACGGTTCAGAAGAAAAGTGAGGAATCTAGTAATTCACTAGTTCAAAATAGCTGTGATTACGTAAAACGTCCGCGACTTAGGGTTTTGAGAAAAACTAGGAAAAAGTCAGTTTTCTAGAAAAGATACCCACATTGGGGTGGTCGGGTCCGCTGGCTGCAATATTCGAACACATCCAAGCGGCTTCGCGTCGAATATCGAAGGCAGATTTGTGCGACAACGAACGACACTGGAAGAAAATTCTCGAACGGCAAGACAGAAATGGTTTTATTTCGAAAGATTAATTTGAAAATTACTTTAATATACTACATTCTCTAAAACTGATAACTTTAGTGAGACACAGGTTCTGCTGAATACGTCACGTGATAGTTTTCCTAATCAAGTACTTGTCCTCTCTGGTTTTCATCAGAAATGGTCGATGTTCAGAGATATGGAACTATCGTATACTGGAATTGATTTACCCCAGCGGAATCATCTATGCTAAGAAATTATCAGAAGCTTCTTTCTGAACTAAACTTTTGCTGCGAAGAGTTTGGTGCCGTATGGGAAGAGATCTATCGACAAGTCAGGGAATCATGGTGCCCACCACAATATTGCGTGTGGTAACCATTGAGAAGGTTTTAGCACAGCCACGATTTAAAGAATTGAGGAGAGACATCCTCTCAATTAGTAGAAAAGAGCTCAACTACTCTGAAATTGGACACTTCAGTCCACGCGAAAATCGTCAAGCAGTGAGGTAACCAACGAAGTTGAAAGAACTTCATCGCTAAAAGTCAGAACAACACATGAATAACAATTTTAAAAAATTTTCTTCTTATTTTGGGTATTAATCGTTGACGACTTCCTCTGTTTTCCTATGCAATCGAGGACACAAACCCATGTTTGAGCATGGTTTTGTGAGATATTTGCACCGGTTTTCAGGTATCTATCACCGTACCGTCGGCGTACGGTATACCACCTCGTTCCGCTTTTAAAGATATTAATACAAACAAAGCAACTTACCAAAACCTACCAAAATGTCATGAAATCGTCGATGCGTGATGACCACTGATGTCTGTATATCGTTACCGGTGATGATGTTGCCCAGTATACGAAGTGCACCGTGATGAAGCTCACTGAGAGGCTGAAATCAAAGAGTTGGAAAAAGTGATGATCAGTCGATGATTTTGCAGTACGGAAAAAATCATGCAGAGATATGAGTTCTCGTTATTTTTAGTAGGAGACCACCCACGAACTATGTGATTCACTGTGGACGATGAACATCTTGATAATGCTTGAGATATCAGCTAATATCAACATAGCAGCACGCATTCACTGCTATCACATAGAAAAGACACACTACTCATATTTGATGTTCGATGTGAACATACATCAAGCTGTTGGCATGTGAATGAACTGTCATCATCCTTACCGAATCCAAAATCTCAAACACCAAATCCACCAAACCCGGCTCACCGAGCACGATATCGATCTGAATGGACACTATGCTAAAGGGATCTCATACAGGAATAAAGCGAAGATAAAAACGGGAAGAAATGATATTTTTGGAGACTGCTGTGAGCATTGTTTGACAAACAGAAGAAGAACAGTGGTGTGCACCTGCGTTCCCATGTCCATATCGTCCGCAATTGATGCCAACGTCCAGAGGCAATCCTTAGCCAGATCTGTCCACATGACGTAGTGCTTTGCCAGCTCAGTCAACGATGTCGTCAACTGCTTTATCGTCTGTGTGTGAGAGTTCATTTTATTACACACGACTGCCATATTCTACTGCCTGTTCTCCTGTCCGAACTGTCAACTAGAACCAGTTCTCACCGAAATCGGTACACCTCCATTCTGAACACCTCCACGCAGGATGTTCATCGCACACCACACAATATTTTTCACTTCGCTGTGTTCGGTATGAGTTTGTTGGGCTAATAACCTCGCCATGATCTGAAAAGCCTTATCAATATTTCAGTGTTACGGCTACGGTAAGTAAACTCACATAACATTCGACAATTTCTTGACAAAGACAACTAAATGGTCGTCACCAGCCCAATTACAATTTTTTTTACAAATGTTATTGATACTCCGTTCTATCTATATGGTGACTAGGTCACAGAATCTTACGGTAAGGAGACCAGCTTCGCGACATTTGTTCTTACACTCAGCACAGTCGGCTGCAATATTGCCCAGTGCCCAAATGCACTGAATACGAAACTCTCCTGTACCCGATACCACACCGTTCTTTAGGGCGTTGATACCGTTCTGAAATTATCCAGTGATTACATTAAGTCGGAAGGGTGTCTTATCATTAAGTTCTGCCCGAGTGACATGTATTAATTTCATGTTCGTGCTTCATCGCATGCCATTTACACATCAGTAGAGTGATTGATGGTTCTTTAAATAATTCCTACTCGTTTGACGGAAGGTAAATTTCTGCAAACTATTTTATTTAACTCACACTGCTCAGCAGAGTTAAATAAAATCTGCCTGAACTCGACTGTTATTGATCGATTCAACTCCACCTGGTCGACAATTATGTGGTTCATTCTCTCTGACATACACGCCATGTTCGTGAGAGTCCATGCCGCGTTCACAAGTGTCTGTTGTAGATGGGTACCACTTTCAACAATACGGAGAAGAAGGCAAACCTGAAAGAAGTCCATCAATTCCTTGCCTCCGCTTCGCCGATTGTAACTATTGTAATTGTTCCAGTAGTAACAAAAAAGCCCCCGATTCAGCAGCGTTGGGACGAACGAGTACGGAGGGGGTGCTAAAATCTCAGGGTCGTTTACTGGCGTTCGCTCGAGTCACTCGACGATCAACGGGACTACAGGTGATAGGTGCATACTTCGGTTATGCCACACGATACCTTGTGGGGAGACTCATCACCAGGAGAGCCACTCCCAAGTTGAGCAGTTCGACGTTTCCATCTGGTAAGCCAGTGAAGAGCAAATGTATGCAAAGTGGAACCTGTACTCGTATGTGGCTGCCTTAGTACAGAGAATAGTAGAAGTAAAAGGCCTGGCAGGAAAGACATTATGATATTCGTGTACATAGAGCAGTCGCAGCCGAATAGGGAGCCCTGGTGTCATTCAGCTTCCATTGGAGGATTTGTTTGGTGTTGGCTCGGACAGGCCGAGGATCAACGAGATTACAGGAGATACAGGTAACATATTGCTTTGCTGTTATCCGCCCACAGTAACCCCTGAATGATGGATCCTCACTCGATTATTCATTGGGATACAGAACCTTCAAGGACGCAGAGTGTGGCAAAAGGCAGACCAAAACAATGTTGCAACTGCCCTGAGACGGAGTTAACATCCACGGTAGAAAGCTCAATTTTTTCTAGGATAGAACAACTTTCTTTCCTTCCACGATCACCTGATCACCTAACTCAGTTTCGCCTCCAACAAATAACTCCACACCTAGTTTTAAAAAATTCAACAAGCTTTCTTTGGGCAAAAGTCAATTGTTGAGTACCCGAATGCGACTCTGTTAGGTGTAGAAAGAATGGATATGCGACTAAAACGTCTTGCCATTCTAGGTTGTCAAAATGTAGGTCATTGAAATCCTTTATTGAAGTTACGATGATGCAAACCAGGAACATTGAATGGAAAATCTCTATGGGATCTTAACGATGACCGAAGTGAAGGAATCGTTGGCGAGTGGGTACCATCCAACATAATTTCCTAACTGTGAAAGTATGCCTCTTCTACATACTTTTCTAAATTTTTTTTTGTTCCGGTCTATCGATTAACAGTCGGGATTCATCCAGAAAGGCCATAATTTCTACCATACGCATATTGACAGTTGCTGTACTGATTAGAAATGTCAATCCCTTTTTTAACGTGAGTGGCTTGGGGAACTCTCGATGTGCATCGCAGCTCTGTGTCCAGAACGCCTCCATCCTTTGAGATCCAACGGTATGGCAGTAAAAAGGAAAGGACGTTTTTTTATGGGAAGTACGAAAGTTTTATAAACAACTCTACGCAGTTCTTAACCTCTAGGAATGGACAACTCAACAAAATTCGCACTATACTGCAAATTCATTGTAATGGAAAAGGTGCCAGCAAATGAGAGAAACATAGAATTTTTTTGTTCCTTTTAACAACTGAAAACAGTGCAACGCAATAAAGCTCTCTCTCTTAAAACTCTCGACGTTGATCAATCTCTGAGGGATGAGCCATGCATTCGACTTCATTAAGCATCGTTTGGAGGTGACTGGATGCACATCCGGCCTTTACATTCACTAACGGTGGCCTACAGATGTATCGAGCCAGTGCTGCTATCCCCACGGACAAACTTTGTGCCAATTTGCCGACTCCGGAGACATGGAAGGCTTGGTGGTGGGCGCGGCGACTGATTCCACGTGTGCTGCACAGTGGCTCCGACCACTGCGCCACACACATCCTAGTGCAACGCAATAAAGAGCGAAAACAGCCAACAAGGTTCCATTTTACGAAGACAGATGAGTATGGTAGTGGCAAACTCGTCCACCAAAGCTAGAGAGAATCATTTGCTCATTGACTAACCCCGAAAGTCAGTACAACACATGGATAACAGTGAGAACCGTTCATTCATGGCACATGAATACGGCGATGCACTTCCTTATCGTTCTAGACCAAGGTTGGTTTCGAAACACTAGTACCTTGAGTTTTCGACAGGTGTCACACTTGTCTGCTACGGATTAGGGCGATTATCCATCAATTTAAAATGCCGGGTGATTTATGAATGGTTGACACATACGCAGTCTACTTGCCTGGAGTATTTACAAAGAAGAATGCAATTAAGTGAGCGGTGCCGACTTAAATCTGCTCTACGTTCAAGGCATCAAATCAACTTCTTCACATTTGTTACCAATCTCACCAGACGTGTGTATTTTTCCGGATCAGCTGTGTTCCGTGGCAGACCAGAACTGAATACGCGTCGGAAGTACACAGCACTAGCCGCCTGTAAAATAGCATCTCGTCTTTCTGTTTTGACAGTTGAATTAAACTTTTTACGCGCTTTAAGTTTTTAGAACAATAGAATACAGAGACAAGGAAGATGTAGGTAGCACTCACTTTCGCATCGGGTGTGCTATTTCCTTCCAGTAATTGGAGAAGAATTTGTTGTTCTCCATCTAACGTCGGTTCATTAGATGGGGTATTGAACGATGAGGTCTGTAAACGACCAACAGCTATTCTTCGTCCGCCTTCTTCGATTTATAACAGACTATTAGTCCTCAAAGTAGGTCAAACTCACATTCATACTCAGAGCTTGCAGTAACGTCCGAGCTGAGTTGACTGCAGAAAGTAAACTGAAACAGTCCATCATTAAAAATCAAGCTCAAATGCGATAGCGGTATCTAAGTGACAGCTGATAGTCGTGATTAGTGCTGTAAATATCACCCGACCTAAGGAATATGAGTGCGGCCTTGAAATGTTCCTGATAGTCTAACAGTCTGGTATGATACAATGGATAAAGTCAGATAAAGCCATAAAGGATAAAGTATTCGGCATTGATCAAATCTTTAAAGAAGCGTAATGCATTTGATTCCATTCGTAGCACTAGGTAATTACTAGTAATACTGGGTAAGGTAGGGGTAATTGAGTGGAAATATGGCCTGTAGAACAAGTGGAGGCGACAAACCGTTGTAGAACGGAATGTTTTTATGCTTCCAGACAAGCGTGGAAGGAATTTACCAATTCCATGATGGTAATGGCAATGATAGCCGGGAAGGTGGAATCCAAGCAGCGCCCATAGGTGTACTATAGGCCACGTACAACACTGCACTGCCATCCTACACGCACCCTAGATTCTGACATAAGGAATGTTATGACCGAACACGCCGAGAGCATTACCTAGGTTTGCGATGAGAATTCTTATCACTATTCACGCTTTTACTAGAGGAATTGCTTGAAATTAGCTTTGATAAGTCAAGACTTAACATGGAACAAACAACTCTAACAATTATACTGGAGAAAGTTAACAGTGACAGTTGTCTATAGTGGTAGTATAAGATAGTGGTAGAAGAGGCGACCTCCAAAACTGACGAATGCAAAACTCGATGCACCCACTCATTTGAGAATAATACTCTCCTCAGAACAGACCTATGGCTGATAATTAAATCTAGAATTCTACACATCACCTATACGGTGCTTGAATGTCGTCTTGCGGAACATAACTTGCACACACAGCGCTAATCCAATCTTTGAAGTTTTGATACTTCCCAGATATCACGTCTTTGAGACCCAAGGATCACGATCTACGCATCAGAACTTAAGCATAGATATAGGGCCGGTTATCTCATGAAGAAAGTTGTGATAAAATGACGAAAGACGGTCGGAGCTATTTGTGGCCATTGTTAAAGAACTGGACTCACATCCGAAAATGTTTTATGGACTGCGGAGTCAACTAAGCTCGTAGATCTCACCACATATGACGCATATTATCGCCGTGAACTGCAGTTGCGAGTTAGCGAGACTTGTGGGTGACGTGCTTGCTCCATCCACAAGATTCCTGAAGGCAGGCATCCGTGTATCCAAACAGATACTAACCTCCTTCTTCGTGAAAGCATTATCGTTCTACTTTAAATATATAACAACTTCCCGTAAATGATAGTATATAGTGAACGGGTGTTTTTGTGAATGATACGATTTTGAGTTCAGTACATCGTGCAATACCAGCAGGTACTGAAGCAAATTAACAACAAATTCATTCATTCAAATTAACGGTCAATGGATTTTTCCGAAAAAAGTTTTTATAAGTCATTAAGTATACAGTCTCATTTTTCTAGGCTCATCCTTCTCACTTTGATTTGCCTTCAATTAGTTATTGAATGAGATGGCGTATTGCTGTAGAAAAAGCTCTGGACCGTACTAAACTAAACGTGGAGTACAGCGTCCATGTGAGCGTTTGGTCCAGTTTCCAATGGACACTATAATGTTCATAAGGCGCGTTGTGGGTTAAGGATTCAACTTCTCATATTCTCCACTGTAAAACGTATGAAGTTCAATTCCTGACCAGTAATTCATTTCCACATTTCCGATTATTATGTTAGATCATGGTTATTGTATAGAATGAAGGAATTAAAAGAAAGGATAAAGCTCTCGGCGTTGATCAATCCCGAGGGAGGCGCCATGCATTCTACTTCATTAAGTATCGTTGGAGGTGATTGAATGCATATCTGGCCTTTACAATGACTCGCCATGGTCTACCGATGTATCGAGCCAGTGCTGCTATCCTCCCAGACAAGTCTGGTACCAATTTGTCGACTCCGAATGGATGAATGGCTTGGTGGGCCTCGATCGGGGATCGGATCCGTATGAAATGCAGGGCGCCCCCGCCCACCGCGCTACGTGTGCCTACATGATGTGCAAATGTGGCAGAGAATCCAGCAGTAACGATGCGACAGATTAATGTTTTAGAAATCAAATGTAAGGTTATAACAACAGTGCAATGGAGTCAATATATTAGAAGGCACATTTGAGGTTGCAGTAGCTTTAGCTTAGAGTAACATTGCAAGGAGGTTAAAATACATACAAACAGCGTGAATGTTAACGTTATCACTCCGAAGGGTCTTCTAGGTAGGAGGGTGTAGCACCAGCTATGAGGAATAGGATTCTGTAAAGCGATAAGGTATCGGGCAGGATAAATTGCTCATCATAGAGGTCATCAGAGGACATCGATGGATCCAGGCGTAGCGAAATAACAAGTGGATGTATCGATGTGGCAACAGTGACCTCCGTAGAGTACTTGCAGAGAGTCCAAGTATTTGGAATAGTTTGTGGATTGAGAACCAAGAGTGTGAGAGTTCGTCAACATTTCTACTCCGTGGAAATCGAATGAGGGGTGAGCGGATGAGATGAAGCGCGAGATCAGTGTTGTAGAGTGATACTGGCGATCTGTATGCGTCGTCTGAAAGCTAGGTGGTCCTGCTACGGGTTGCGGGTCGTTTTTAGCCAACGTTTCTATGAAACCATAAATTGGCACACAAACAGCTACAGAGCCTCTCAACCACTGGGTTTTTCCAGTGTGCAGGTACAAGGATACGAAGATGTCTGCATTTCAAGGCAAACAGCACAAAGATGTCTAATTTTACAGAAAGCTGATTTGATCTGAGAAAGCTGACAGTTGCTCATCCAGTGCGCGAACTGTCGGACTAGGGCGAGCAGTTCATACAAACACATTATGTAGCTCTTTCCAGCCAGCTGCGAGGCAAGTACTTGAAAGGGTGTTCAAGAAGGCTATGTGAAAGCGGTACAATAGCAAACTGGGAGGGCATATGTGGATTTGGTGGAGAAACGATAGAGAACAGTCGTTGCTTTGTGAAGAACACTGTCTAGAACTCAACCAACCATATACGACTCGAAGCGGCTGCTCGTTGTCAGTGGAAAGCAAGAAGGAAACGGCTCTGAAGAAAGCGAAATCACAGAAAAGTCAGCAACTTTCTCCTGCCTTATGTATTTTTGTGCGAGGGAAAACGTGTGCTGTAAAACAACTTCGCGATTTCTGGAAAAGAAAACGGCACATTTATCACCTAATATCCAGATCCATAGGAGGTCAATTCAGAGAACTATTGTCCACAACGTGTGTACTGCAATGCACTTCTAACTACTGCGCTACACGCGCCCTTTACTTAACGAATACGACACTTCTAATCGTCCCATGTACATCACACTGGCTTAACTGCCAGCTCTTACCGGATCTATGTGCGAGAGACAGCCCAGAATTTCATCCCATGCCTCCGTCTGCATTCCAGGATCTGAGATCCAGGTCACTTTTGCTCCTCTTCTAATAACCTGTTGTTGTTGTTAATGTACAAATCACTACGGCGGTGACTGTTTCGAGAGGAACAGCTTCTTCGGATGCAATCACCCCTAACCTATGAGGATGTGTCCTTGTGACGATCCACATCGAACAGTCTTCCAACATGTTATACCAACCTACAACGTCTACATTCCATATTGCTTTAATCGGTAAACCTGCAACCTTACTGAAAAAAGGAGACCAATTCAAGAACATGGGCGAAATAATCCACTATATCGTTGAGTAGTTCGAATCCGTGATTCTCCCATATCGGTGTAGAGAACTCTCGTCGTAGGTTTTCGCGCTCTAATCGACTTATCCGCGGAAGAGTAGTTGCATTTTGGCAGCGCGGATTCCAGGAACCGGATACTTGAATGGCCTGCCCTTGTGTGAGCCCCAGCAAAATTTCCACTTGTCGGAGTTTTGCTGGCTTAGCCATTGTGGTTCCCTGGACTAGGTCAGCCAGACCAAGGTCTGCCCCAGGTGGTCACCACCACAGGCCGTCGCCGCCGTTGTGGACCAGAAAGACATTTCCCACCATGCGGCTAGTTTGATACCAGGAAGGTGGTAGGTCCTGGTATTCGTTTACTCTTAGCTAGGTTTACTAATGGAAACGCCGGACTCCTTCCCAGCTTGGGAGACGAATCCCCCACTGTACACCGGAGCCCGACGCCCAGGAACGCCTCCCAGTTACGATGAGGCGGTAAACCGTTGGGAGATATCTATACATTAGCCTAGTGATGTTGCCGTGCCTATTATTGGTACTTCCATCGTTTTTAAATTTTGTTAGGAAGTGATCGTTTTGCTAGCGTTACCCACTTTGGTGCCAACTCTATCTTTCACTTCTCCACAAGCCTTTCTTGTAAGGGGCAGAGTTCACTATAATACTTGCTGTACTTCTTTTTTTTTTTACTTTAAGCTGAACTTGGTCAACCACTATGTTGGGCAGAGACGAATTTAAAGTGCCAATGCTACCAAGTGGGTTTCTTCAGAGTCTTTTCTTATCGTTATGTAAGCTCCCTGTATAAAATTCAGTAATAACCACATTTTGTCACACTGTGCTTTATTGCAGACAAAATGGCTTTGGTGAGTGCTGAAAGCAGATCAGAACCTGTACGGGTTTCGAAACTCCAGGTGCATATCACCTCATTTCATGGTTCTTCTCTCTGTGTGCTTTCTGTTTGTGAAATTTTCCCGCTTAATACATTACCAAAGCATGCAGGCTCCAATTCTGCTGCTCACTGGCCATGAGGACGAGATTTTTGCAGGCCGTTTCAGTTCGGATGGGACGTGTATTGCGACTGCTGGTTTCGATCAAAAGGTTTGATGCATTATTTATAAAGACATTATTACTGGCTTTCTTGGAATGGATTGATTCCGTTGTACTTTTTTTTTCCACCAATCCTATTTCGGAATTCCAGTTGAAAGTGTTCAGATTTTTCTCTGGAACGTGTATGGCGAGTGTGAGAATTTCTCCGTATTGCGTGGACATACTGGTGCTATTATGGATGTCCATTTCAACACGGATTCAAGGTATCTTATATTTTTGTTTTGCTTAGTTTTTCAGGTTTGAGTTCGATTAACTGATTTGATGGTTTTGTTGACTGTGATCGGTTGCTAGGATTTTCCATATTCCATGCTAACGAAGTTCAAAAACAACTTTAGTCTGCTAATAACGGCAGCTACTGACAAGACAGTACGAGTATGGGATATGGAAACGGGCGTTTGTCGACGGAAGTTCAAATCTCATATCGACATTGTAAACGCTTGCCATCCATCTCGTCGAGGTCCACAACTCGTTTGTTCTGCTGGTGATGATGGTTTGGTTAAGGTGAGATTGATACCTTGTTGCTCTCTTGGATCTTCTTCTTACAATATGTTTCGTTTATTTAGTTGTTTCTGAAAAGATAGGGTTATAGCCATGGTGCAAAATATCAAATAGGCAATTAATTTCTTATTAGATTTTTTATTAGACGCTAGAAATATTGTGTTTTTCGAAAAATTTTGGTAGCAAACTGGCTGAGAGAAACGCGAAGCGAGGGCCTCCGTCGTGCGGTGTGTAATGCGCGAGCCCCGGCACGGGTAATCGTGAAGTCTGGTCCGGGATCCAAGTTTTGTGAATATCTCACCATCGTTATGGTTCTTCTTCACATCATACCCTGCCCCAAAGAATTTTAATAGGCAGCAAATAAAAGGTTAATACCATGTTTTTGTTAGGTGCACGATGTTAGACACAAAGATGCTGTGAAAACTTATGAAAACCGTTTTCAACAACTAGCCGTCACTTTCAATGATGCCACAGACGAGATTTTTGCGGGAAGTATTGATGGCGACATATATGTAAGTGTTCTTTTTTTTCGATCTATCCGAGAAATATTGGTGGAAACGGATATTTTGTAGCCATTGACACAACAGTGACAAGCAGTTGCGTAAATTCATGTAATAAAAAAGCTAAAATCTGCACGTAGAGTTGTGAAATTATTACTTACCTGGATGCTTCGGTGACTCGTCCTCATTGGATGTGTGGACGCAAACATATTCTCCATTTTTCGGAGTTTTGATGGTTTAGCCATTGTTTTCCTGGAGTGCCGAGGTAATCAACCTAGCCAAAATCTGCCCTATTTCGTCACCACCACAAACAGTCGACACTGTTGTGGATCAGAGGGAGATTTTATACCCTGCGACTAGTTTGTTACCAGGATGGTGATAGATATTGGTTTTGGTTTACTCCTAGCTAGGCTTGCCGATGGAATTTCCAGAGTCCTCAACTTGGAAGACCTTGCTGGAGGACGAATCCCCTGCTCTTTTTCGCAGCTTGGCACCCAGTAATACCTCCCAGCCATGATGAAGCAGTAAAACATTTAGAGGAGTCTTCACATAAAGTGAAATTATAAGAAGTCTTAAAATGAGCAGATCGCTGAAATGCACGTAATTCATGGAACAAGTTTCGTTCCTATCATTGTTTTTGAGTTATGCCAAGGTGTTGAGAAATTATTTATGTGTACGTTTTCGATTTACTACCTTATAAGTCCATCATATTTAAGTGTTGGGACATGAGACGGGATGATATTTCCTATGTAATGCATGGCCATAAAGATATAATCACAGGTTTATCACTTAGTCCGAATGGAAATCACGTGTTATCCAATAGCATGGACTGCTCAGGTGTGACTCTTTATTTTTGCCGTAAGCCTTTTCGTCATACACTGTTACTGTAATACGTTTCAGCAAAAATGTGGGATGTTCGGCCTTTCGCGCCTCCAGAGCGTTGTGTCAAGTCCTTTTATGGCCATCAACATAACTTTGAAAAGGTTTGGCCTTTAGTGATTGAGTTATGCAAACCTGAAGTGTTTTCTTTTAATTTTCGTTTGTAAAGTGTGGTTTTACAGAATTTGTTGAAATGCGGTTGGTCTGGCGACGGTAAACGAGTAACTGCTGGGTCTAGCGATCGCTTCGTATACGTATGGGATGTTTCTTCACGGCATATACTATACAAGCTCCCAGGTCATCTTGGATCAGTAAATGCTACTGATTTGCATCCCACTGAACCCATATGTAAGTTGAGAGCCTCTTTTGTTAATTATTGTACTGACTAGTTTTTCTCTATCACGAATTTGCAGTGCTCTCTGCTGGAAGTGACAAACGCATATTTCTGGGTGAAATTCCTTAGGTTGTTTTCGGTCATCCATATGATCTCCTACCATTTAATGGTAAATGTTTATTTGTTTCCTTGGATCGTGTGTTATGGAACAATTCTGAATAAATGTACGGAAATATTTGTTTTTGTTATGAGGCAATAAATGCAATGATGGCAAGTATATATTGAGCACTGGTGCATATACAATTATAATATAACTTTCGGGAACTAGAAGCTGTATAAATTCCTTTAAGGCATAGTTTGCTTCAATATATATCATTCGTACGGTACACTTGTGTGAAATGTTTACTGCAGTGGGACGTGTATATATCTCACTTTCGACATGTATCTTCAAAAATCTAGCCTTTGAGGAATATCTGTTAAGGAATCATGTGTGGGAGGATGGGAGTGAGGTGATGCTACTTTGGAGGTGGGCAGAGATATTGCATCACGTTTTTTTTTCTTGAGTGTGTAATCCTTTTTTCCAGCAACAGTCCTGCTGTAGTTGTTGGTCGTCATCAGAACCCATGGCTGGAGGCAAATATTCCGTATCTGCGTGAATGTGGTATCACGCTAGCTCGACGCCATAGCGGCGGTGGGGCAGTTTACCACGATCAAGGTTCGGTTTTAGGGCTCCTTATCACCCAATAATCACTGGGTTAGATGTCTAGACAAGTTTCTATGGATCTCATGAACCTCAGGAAAGTATTATCCGTTTCATTTCACCCATGCTCCTTTGTCGACGTCATGCAAATGATAGCTACCAGATCCAGTTTCTTGTTCAGAGGACATGTCCAGATTCGGATACAGCTTGTAGATATGAGCCAGCGATTAACACACCCGTCCATCTTATGGGGGACGACTTCTTCTTCGAAGATCTTTGATCTGGAGAATTAGTCCACTGTTTCGTCTGTAGTTAATTTGTCTCATCAATTAATAGGCATCTTCGTTGCGTCAAGTTATAGATATAGCCCGCAATCAAAATGTTTAGCAAAACTGTTGCATACGATGTGTGACATCTTGTTACATGTGCTAGTGTAGTCCCTTACACTTTGTCGATAACGCGCGGTTTCCGCTGTGCACCTAAGGTGTTTGTTTACTTCAAATGATAATCAGGCTGCTAGAGGAACAAGATTACAAACTAAAAAAGATTCATCTGGGTCTGTTCAGTGCGCGTGGGAATTGTAAAGGCACAACGGACATTGGTGATATACCGCATTTTGTCTTCACTGCGTTTATCTAGAATCTACGTTGAATTCTTTGTACCATCTTTGAAGTCGTAATAATCTCTGATATTGTAGTAACAAGTACGACACTTCGTTAACACTCAAGTGGTTTCTTCCAAGAATTGACTGAGCGACGGCAGAAAAACACTAGTAGCTTGAACCTAACTTAAACATATCCATGAAAGTCAGCTTAGAGTCTCATCATGTAGTCACAATACCCATTAAAAGCATTTGAGTGGTTAGGTGGAAAAGAAGCCGTATGTCTAAATTATGCATAATTAAAGATGTGTACAAACAGTGGAGAGGCGAAGATGTGCGTACCATTTACTGGTTCTCCAGACATGTGGATAATAAACGCTATTTGTTTGTCTATGTCCATGAGGAGGGGTGCATGTAGCGGAGTGGTCGAAGGCGCTTTGTATTGTAATATGCATGGGATCGATCCCCTCGCCGTAGGCCCACCAAGCCTTCCATCACCACGGGGTCAGTAAATTGATACCAAACTTATCTGGGTGGACAGCAGCACTGGCTCTATACATCGGTAAGCTACCACGAGTAAAGGTATTGTACTACCATTGTAAAGGCCAGGTATGCATTCAATCACCTCCAACGATGCTTAATGAAGTCGAATGAATGGCGCATCTCTCAAGGATTGGCCAACACTGAGAGCTTCATTTCTTATTTTTTATTATCAGACATACTGAGTTGGTCACCACTAGCACTTGTAGTGAAAATATTCCCTTCTTTGTGGTAAAAACTTGTATTAAATCGGTGGTGCTTATTTGTCTTTTCATTTGTTTATTTACATCGTGCCGCATAACACTGAGTGGTTGCCACCAATTTTCGTTTTCGGTTTGTATTTCCTTTTAAAGGGAAAAGGAAATCATGTTGGATCTGGCCCGCGGTCCAAGTTTTGCGAACATCTCAGCATCGTTGTGGTTGATTTTGCATAGTACCTTACCGTGAAGATTGTAGTAGGCGGTAAATAAAAAAGTAAACATTACCTTCTGTTTATCATCCACAACCGTCTTGCGATTTTCATGTTGGTTCGACTGCTACCTGAGAATTGCGATCTTCCCTATGAATGTTTGGTCGAAAATATTGGTTGAAGATGCGCCGTGACCTCGGGTCCATCGTGCTTAGTAGAATTGATTTGAATGCATATGTGGCTTCATCGATGTGTCGGGGCAGCATTTGTACGCTGTGAAAAGGGTTCGATTTGCCAACGTGGGAAATATGAAGGGCTAAGTTGGCCTGGGAACTGGAACAAACCAAGGACCTTGAGTGTATGCTGCACGGCACCGCCAGGTATATCGTTGTACGCAAACGGAGGACACCTAGAGTATAAAAACAAAAATTTCTGAAGTCAGAGAAATTTGGACTAATTGAGCTATAGAGCCAAAATCAAATAATTTAAAGGATGACTCTTTTTTTCCTGAAAATTTGAGGGCTTAGCGAATGATAAGACTCAAATGATTCCTAGGGTGGGGAAAAGAAAAGTTATTAGTTGTCGCGAATGCGCTAGAGAATCATTGTTTCCTATGAATCATTCTTCCATTTTCCGGGACCAACCTATGTCGAAAAAATGGCCATGACTCACTGGCGTCAAGTCATAACGACATTCGCTTCATAGTTTCTTAACACGTTGTAATGGTATCATTTAATTCAACAGCTTTAGCACTTAGTATTTCAAAACCAACTTTCCTTTAACGCGGTATGACTAATCAATATGTATTCTTTCCTTGATAAGCTTACACGACGTTGATAAATAGTCTATAATAGACGCCACATCGAGAAGGCGAACAACCGTGGACCATCTACTCGGATCATCGGCACTGATGAAGACGAAGACGTTGAGACTAGCTGAGTGAATTATTTTGGCAACCTCGTCTAAGATTATCAAGGAAAGAATGCATATTCAATAGCACTTAGTATTGATCAGTACCATTTCCCTGTTTTTTTAAACATTTAGCGAAAAAGGAAGAAATTTCTGAGTCAAGGAGCCACTCCATCTGCTTCTTTCTGTTTTCTTTTCTAAACTGGTTTTTTTCACGCAAGCATAGGGTGATCCAGTTTACTGTTGAATACGGTAATAACTTGATTACCATTTGCCTTTTCTTAAGTTCTATAGAAACAGAACCTGAATGTTGCAGGTAATCTGAATATATCTTTGCTTACGACATCGGAGTCTCATTGCAGACGCACGAATTTAAGCTTCATCTCCAAGGCTCTCAATAGTCGCTTCTCCGTCAATGTACGTTAAACTAGGTTATCCGTTTTTGATTTGCCGCATATAGGTTTCTTCTTTTTCTTCCAATTTCCTAGTCGACTACTTATCTGACACAAATGGGACACAAGGCATTGACCCTGAAAAGCAGTTCTTTATACTTAATAATATTTAAAAACTGGTTTTATGCAGACTGTTGATAGTTACGAAGTATAAATATAGTGAAAGTGCCACAGATGTCGCTGGTAGTAGAATGTATGTCCGTCTCTTGGCGACTGTTTGCCTTTTGTACCGATGGAGAAAAGGTCCATGTAGCGCAGTGGTCGGAGGAACCTTGCAATACCCATAGGATCGATCACTGGCCCAATGCTCACCAAACCTTCCATCCCTCTGGGGTCGGTAAATTGGTACCAGACTTGTCTAGGAGGATACTAGCACTCGACACATGGATAGCCCACTGCGAGTCATTGTAAAGTCTAGATGTGCATTCAATCACCTCTAACGATGCTTAAAGAAGTAGAATGAACGGCACACCCCTCAGCGATTGATCAACGCCGAGAGATTCATCCTTCTTTATTGACAGAATAGTGTGAAAACGTACGCGGAGGTGGCAAATCGGATGACTTGACTTAATTGACTTCAACTCAGAGCCCACATTAAGCATTAAGTGCCTACAACTCACATCTATGTTTCGGACTCCAAGTGTAATGATTCAGTTTTGTGCTAGGTACCAGGCTATAAGTATATCCTTCACTCTTCAGCTCTGCACTTCTTGTTCTTTGGAGTCTTTCTAGGTTGTGCCCAATAAACGTGGCGATATAGAAATGCATCCTGGCTACCGGAAATGTTCTGGTACGGCAGCTAGGATAGTAAAGGAGCGAGCTTATCATCACCTAACACTACTCGTGGGTGTGGATCTCATGGTGTTATCAAATTCCTTGCGATCTCCGTTCAAGGTATCTGTTGACAGTTTATCCTTCCAGCATTGACTCGAGCTATACTTGTCACATATATAGTGCTCCGAACATTCATTTGTGTTTCCTACACGTGGACACTTCGCATAAATTTCAGTGTGATTTTGAAGGATTTCATAACAACTACTGCTACTGGCAGTACTCGTGCGAATGCGGTAGGCTTTCTCAAGCAAGATGATCAGTCCGCCGACGTGCAGTCAGTTCGGACCACTTTGATTGAACAGTTCGCTTCTCGATTCAAAGTGAGGCCTGGTACTACTTCTTTTATTTACCTCATTTTACGTTGTCATGAACTAGACTTTTATATTGGCCTCTCATTTTTTCACTTGCTGTACTAACTATCTTTGCGATTCCAAATGTTTTCCAGGATTGCCTGATTACTGAAATAAACATCGACCAAGAGTTAAGAAAGAATGAGAAGATTTCCAGAAGTTTTTCTGAAATCACGGACTGGAACTGGATATATGGAAAGACACCTAGATTCTGGTTTGATAATGGCTATATGAAGCAGTATATTGAAGGAGGTATTATAAAACAATGTTCGCTAGGCCGTGTTGGAAAGAGATTCCAGCTTTAAGTTCTATACTGTTCAATTCTCTAGGCAAATTGTTTGTTGACTCTTTGATTTTACGACATTAACTGAACTTGTGTGTGCATGGTACTTCTGAAGATTATGGACATTTTGTTATCATCGTAGAAACAGTGCATATAAATAATCGTCTCAACAAGGCTAAGTTGTCTATTCAAGATAGTTATTGTGTGGATATCTGTCAGTACTTTATTTATTAATACTACTACTATTACTACTGAACTATTGTACTACTACTACTTAATATTTCATCGACTACCAAACCTTCGGACTACCACATTGTTTTCACTCTACCGCATTTACATTACACAACAAATGTTCAAGTTCCTAACTTTCTCACTTCGTGCCAGATGTATCCTATGTCCCAAGGATTGTGCCAACAATGTGCATCACTTTTTACGACCAATCGAGGTGTTCTTCTGCAATTGCGCTAATTCACTATTACCGTGTTGTCGAAATGAGTTGGTTTGATTGTACGTAGTTCTTTCTCATCTCACCCATTGTTTTTCTCCCTTTGTTATTGTTTGTGCCACATTAGTGAAGCTTACATCTAGATGGTAGTATGCCATTTGCGGAGCTGTAAGCGTTACAAAAAGATTTGTTGGGCGGTTTTGTGATGTTTGTAGAAATCAACTGTTGATTTGGACGATTCTGGGGACTCAGGATTTCTATCGTATTGCTTAACATAGAGTGTCTTAGGTCTTCATTTTCACTGTCCTGTTTTGTAATCAATAAATCAATCATGTCAAGGTCGTAGCATGGATATTATCTTGCAGGAGAGATCGAACAATGTGGATGTCTCGACATGCTTTGGGTCGTATCATCTTCTGTGGTAGTCGTCGTCTAGCCATAGCAGTGAATCCGCTTGCTGTTGTGAGGACGTCTCCTGATGTTCATCACAACTCGAGGCGCTTCTGCGTAACTGCAGAGCGTCATGAATTTCAGGCAGAAACGAGAAATCTGATGGATATCGTGGCCAAATCCCTGTATTCACATAGTGAGGTACTTGCTATGTTCATTCTTTACAAGAGCTGTATTACAGAAATGCAAGGTCTTATCGGATCGTTGATTTGTTTCGTTTAAATTCTACTAAATCGCCGCAGGGAGTGTGTGGCGCAGTGTTCGGAGGCGCTCTGCGGCACACATGGGTCGATCCCCGCGCCCTTGGCCCGCCAAGCTTTCCATCTCTCCGGGGTCGGCAAATTGGTACCAGATATGTCTGGGATGATTGTTGCACTGGCTCGATACATGGGTAGGCCACTTCGAGTCATAAAGGTCATATCCATTCAGTCATCTCCAACGATGCTTAATAAAGTCGAATGGATGGCGCATCCCTCAAGGATTGATCAATGCCGAGAGCTTTATCCTTAATATTTTAATTTGCAGCAACACCTACTGCCTCCCCTCTTCCATGTGGTGCACCTGTTCAGTTTATCCTTTACTAAAATGTGTACAGGGAGCGAGATTCCTAAGAACTCATTTGGGAGCAAACCCACTTGTTATCTACACGCGCATGATGAGACATGTGAAGTGTACTTTGCGAGAATTCTAGAACGTATTCTCTAACCATTATGAACCAGAGATGAACACGAAGATGGCCTGTTGTAAAATGAAGAGAGTTGGTTCTTCAGAGCTGTTAATTAGTCTTCAAACATCACTAGCAACGTAATGATTTGCCTAGGTTTTCATCCGTGAACTCATTTCAAATGCATCGGATGCCCTAGAGAAAAGGAGATGTGCAGAGCTGAGTGGACAGGTGACAGAAGGTCCTAGCGAAATTCGTATTACAACTGATGAGGTGACTTCATAGTGCTGTTTATCCGCTATCCATTTTGGAGGTGTCTGAAAACGAATGTGTAATATACAGGTTAATCGTTTGATTACGTTTGAAGACACTGGAATCGGTATGGATCGTAAAGATCTTCTTGAGTGCCTTGGAACTATAGCAAAGTCTGGGAGCAAGGAATTTATGGAGGAGGTGTTATCTTTTTAGATTATTTAGCTTACTGTTTTTAAATTGTGTACAAATGTGTAATTTCTTTTTGTTTCCAGAATAAAAACAATGCGGAGGCCGTGATTGGTCAGTTTGGGGTCGGATTCTACTCCGCTTTTATGGTTGCAGATTCAGTGGTTGTAACTACGAGGAAAATAGGCACGGACAATGATCAGGGATTAAAATGGACTTGGAATGGGTAAGGTTTCTACTATATTTTTGTACAATATCGGCTTTCAGTCACCACATGATGTGTCACATTTGTTTTCATTTTTGCTCATAGGCATGCTAGAGTGGAATATCTGACAACGAGAATTTATGAAACGATACCTCAGGGGTAATTCGTATGAAATGTCGAGTGAAAAAGGATTACCTACTGGCTGTCGTATTGAAATTCATTTGAAGGCTGGTGACTCTGCCGAGTACGCGAATCCCGAACGGGTGAAAGAAGTGAAACCTCTTTGTTTCTTCAACTAATTCCGTGATTTTTGGACGGTTTTTATCAATATTGTTTTTAGATTATTGATAAGTATTCGTATTTTGTTGCTACTCCTATTCTTCTGAATGGTGAACGCATCAACAGCCTTAATGCCTTATGGACAATGAATCCAAAAGATGTCACAAAAGAGATGCACGAGTCTTTCTTCATGTAAGGTGGTTCGTTTTCTATAAATGGTTTAAAAGGGATCTTAATTTTATCTTTTCAAGACATTTGGCCAAGCAGCAGAAGAAGTCTGAAGTGATGCAAAGACCGTGTTATACAATTCACTACAAGGTTGCTTAATTTCTTGATGTAATTGTATGTGTTAAAACACACTTGCTTCGAGATCTTTTATTTTATTTTCCTTATATGACCCGTCCTCACGTCAACTGTGCAGTTCGCAGCACTTCTCACATTCAATTCGTTTCTTCGCATCCATCATCCACGACTGTGTTCCAACTTTTACCTGTGACATCGGTTGCTGCTTCATGATTTTTTTTTCAAATTGAGTGTCGTAGAATGCTGGTCGAACAATTTTCTCTGAAGTCCTGAGGTCGCTGTGCTGGAGCGTTTCCAACTGGATTGCAGAGAGTGATTATTTCCCAGGCAAGTCCGGTGCTGATTTTCCGACCCCGGAGGGATGAGAGGCTTGGTAGGCACAGAGCGGACAGAATGCTCGTGGTGGTCGACATAACTCTACCATTGTGCTAGGCACCCCCTGCTTCGAGATTTGTTTGAAAATTTTGGTATGCAGAGCAGGTGTTGCCGTATTCCTTAATCTATTAGTGGTTTTTAGATTAATATATGATTCTTAGTTTTCCGTGCTATAGTTTTTTTTTTGACGACCTAGTTATTTCACCACATTTGTTGCAGACAGACACACCAGTATCATTACGTTCAGTGATGTACATTCCACAACATCGGTACACAATGCTCGAATACGCTGCGAAGTCACAAAACAGAGATTGCGGTTTGTCGTTGTATGCGAGACGTGTCCTCATCAAACCAAATGCTGGTGAACTCCTTCCGAAGTTGGTTCCTTCTCTCAGTGATTTTATCATTCAAGTATTTAGTGGGATCGTGTCTTTATTTCTTCTCTGTCTTTGGCTGTCATTGGTGTAAAAAGCTTTCCTTTTTTCTCAGGAGTAATCTTTTACACCATTTGACAAATTGCATGTCAACCACAGAAAGGAGATCAACATAAATTGCGGTTGATCCAAAGATTTTTAATGTTGAGGGTAGTATTTTTGGAATATCTTCCCGTGTTTTTAGAAAGACTACATGTCGCAGACTCAGAGTGTTGTGCACAGTTTACACAGAAAGATCTCATTGACGACTTCACATGTTGATTTTGGTATTAGGTAATCCGTAATTTCGATATGACTGTAGTTGGGATTCCTATCTATACCGATTTTGGAAGTCGCTTAAGTTGTGAGGAAAAAAGGATACATCGCTGAACATCAATCTGTTTCTGATTTATATGGTGATATATGTTAAAAATGAAATCGTACATGCAATCGAGCGAAGAAAAGAAAATTGTGGTCTAGGTGCAACTCTTACTGACCATGGCGAAAGTCAGTTTTTGGCTCACTACGTCATTTTTATGGGAAAGCGAAAAATTTCGTGGTGTCGATTGAGCAGCACGGATAACTGCTGCACATAGTTGATCAAATTTGAATAAGTAATCAAACAGAAACTTAGGATTAATGCATAGGAATGGGATTTTTCATCTCGACGATACTAGAGACCGGAACGTTTTTAAGTTGGTGGAAAACTTCCACTGCTCGGTAGGAGTGTTTTGGCCCATCCATTATATTTATGAAACATTACATCCTTTGACTACCATACATTTATATATGTATATATATATATGCAGAATAGTTTAAATGACATTGATATCAACTCTTCGGAAACCTGTATGAGCGATCTGAATTAGTTTGTTGCCCATGAATATCAGAATTCTAACGAGAAAGAGTCAATAGACTATTGATGAGATAACGGCACGTCATGAAACAAGCAGCATATAGATGGTTGACTAGTTGTTTTTTGAAACATGGTTTTGTTTGTGAATTTTACCGAAGAACAACACGTATAAATCTCATTTTTTTGAGCGAACAATGTTCTAGCTTCCTCCACTTCATTATGGGTATTGTGGATTCCGAGGATGTTCCGTTGAATCTGAGCCGGGAAATGCTCCAAAATAACCCAGTGCTTAGGTGGATATTCTCACTGTGGTTTTTCATTATCACATTTGCATATTCTTCCATTCTTTATCATTTTTTCTAGGAAGATCCGGAAGATTCTTACCGATAAAGTATTGGGTTTTTTCCAAAGTGAGATGAAGAAGGATTATGAAAAATACACAGAATTCTACAAACGGTACAGCATTTTTTTCAAGGAGGGTATTGTGACTGAAGTTGATCACTCATATAAGGTTAGCAATGTCCTAGATTTTTTTCAAATTCTATGTCACTCCGTCTTTATTAATTGAGGTCTTTTAGAAACGTTATTGTGTGTTCTTTCAATTACTGTATCATTACCATTTCTGTAATGATATTTATCACTAGACTGCATCGAATTTAGGAAGAGATTGCGAAACTCTTACTTTTCGAGTCCTCCAATCTAAAGCCGGGTGTGCTGACGAATCTAACTGAGTACTGTAATCGAATGCAAGAAGATCAAAAGGAAATTTACTACATGTTCTCTCCAAGGTTGGCCTAGATTCTTCTGTTCTTCTGTTTCTCTTGTACTTTTCATCACGATATTCTTTGCTATCTCAAAGATTACTTAAATTTCCTAGTGCGACAATATCAACAACACGTACAAGTTGATATGAGTCATGTGACTCAGGAGTAGTCGTGGTGCTGTGAAGCTGTATATATAGCATCACAGCACTACGACTAAATGTGTTGATGTGTATACATAGCTCATTTTCTTTTCCTTATTTTGTTGCCGTACAAATCCTTTGTTTAGGAGGACTTCTTTCTTACTGCACGAGTCGTATACGAATCATATTATTGTTGAGAAGAAATAGGCATCATCGCATGCTACAACTATCGAATTTTAGGCGTCATGTGTTAATATAGACATCTTTTTAGCCGAAGTCTCGCTGAATCGTCTCCTTATTACGAACTGATTCAATCACAAAATAAGGAGGTTATCTTTCTATACGAGCCTGCAGATGAGGTAGAAAGCGTTGTGCATTTCTTCTTGAATTATCTCGTTGAACAATTTGTTTCAGGTAGTATTTCTTGCTTTAAATCAATTTCAAATGAAAAGTCTTGTGGGAGTAGAGAAATTCGCTGAGACCACTGCTTCGAAATCCGATGGCGAAAAAGCAGGAGAACGCAAGTCTTCTTTTATTGATTCACTGTTCTTTTCCCATGTTTAAAAGAGAATTTCTTACCAGGGCAGTTCCGTGATACTGATAAGAAGGAACTGTTAGATTGGATCAAGACTACCCTTGGTTCTGTGAAGGTAGAACTCTATTCTATTTCTATATTTTCATTACAACGTCGCATCTATTCGTAGAAAAAACAGTTCTCTTCAATGAATTTTTTAGTTTTAATGAGTTTGATGTTTAACTTAGGTGTTCAATTTATAGGTTTCCGATATAACGGGAAATCACCGACCAAGCGAGCATCCTGTAATGCTGACTATAAAGCATGAAATGGGAGCTGCTAGGCATTTGCTTCGTACCGGTGAAATTAAGGATATGGAGCACCTTGTAAGTACATTGTTTTCCTTTAACAAATTAAGTCCTTTCTTGTACTGTTACATTATTCATGCACTGTTTTTGATCTCCATGTGAGAGTCTTATTGTTTTTATTCACGAGGATATATTGTCTGAAATGTAGTCAACAATGCTAGTTGAAGCTGTAGAATCAGGGAACATCATCCGCAACGTTTGAAGAGATTTCACGAGTTACAAGGCTAAGATTATGGTCCTTCGATTTGCAAACAGAACACTTAGTGCATCCACAAAGAGGCAGTGGAGACATTCATCGACTTTTACTCTGATCTCTTTGGCAAAAACATCCATCCGTCTACATTTCGTCGAGGAATGTGTATCTCTTGGTTTCGACAAAATCAATTTGAAGCATTGGGATTATCTCTCACCATTCCTAATCAAAAAGCTACTCCTGATTTTTCATGCTAAAAGTATCAGTTTAAGCCGCCTAAACAATAGACATCAGCAAGACGATGCTGTTGTACAAGAAATGGGCTTTCGCAACATCGGAACGTATTTCCAGTTGTTTGTCACTTACAAACTCTGCGTCAGTTGTCAGTCGTAAGACTGAGCAAGGTGTTTAAATGTGAAATATCTTCAGTGTAATGTATCATATTCGCACGGCAAAGAAATTTGTTGAAATATGGTGAAGGTACTATGTGCTACTACGTTTCAACTCCGCCGGCGTATTGACGACAGTGAATCAAATGGCAAAATGCCATTTTTTATTGGTATAGTACAGTGCTTTTCAGTCATGGGATATGTTGGATAGAATATTTTTCACGTTGCTGCTATATTGTCTTCATATATTAACGAATTCACTGTGACTTGCCACATAGAGGAAAACGGCTGACAATGAAAATCCAAGCAGAAGTTCGTCCCCACACTGAAAAACCATGAAATTTGATTCCCGTCGCTATGTTAGAGAGTGTTTTCGATTCTTTTCAGAAGGATGTTATTTTGGCTAATCAGCATGTTCGCTAGATCATTTATAAGTTATATCACAAATGTAGAACCAAAATTATCCATTGTATAACCATGTTATGGATGTAATGAGCGGAGTGCTAATAAGCGGTATATGTCGTCTAAGTCGGAGTGTTAATAAGCGGTATATGCTCGTCTAAGTTAGTCTACGTAAGGACCATGAGCCTTATGAAATAAATATGGGTGGTGGCAACAAATTCCTACTTTCCTTATTATATCGTTATTATGACATGAAACGGGGCGGGTAGAACAATGGTAGTGATGTCCGTCATCACGGGCATGGTGTTAGTTCGATTCCGCTCCGGATCAACCAAGTCTCTCATCTTTCCGGAATCGGGAGATTGGTACCGAACTTGTATGCAAAGAAACCACTTTCTGCAGTCCAATTGGGAACGCTCCTGGCCGTCTATCTCAGGACTCAAAGGAGCATTGCTCGAGCATGATTCTACGACATCCAAGATGAAATGAAGATCCTCACGCAGCAACTGAAGTCACACATAAAGTTGGAAGATCTCCGTGAAGAATGGATCCGAGGAAACGAATACAATGTGGGAAGTGCCAGGATCCGCACAGTAAAAGTGAAGACGGGTAATGTAAAATAAAATATAAAATAATATCAAACTTCGACTAGGTAGCACAAATGTTTTCCGATTTTGACTACGCTTGTAGAATGATGATTCTTAGATTGAACATCAAAAGAGCAGTCCTTATGAGGTAAAGATTGGTGTCCCATTCATGCCATACGGAACAAGTGACTTAAAATGCTTAAGCTTTGTCTGGTTGGGATCGAAAAGTGAATATCGAGGATGGTTTCGCAGGAATACGTAAGGTGATTTCGCAGAAGAGTTGACCAAACATAAGCGAACGAAAGTGCGGTGCATGTTCTCGAACGTGCTTTTAAGATAGCGTTGGTAAGGGTGGATGTTAATAGTCCGACCTACTTTTATGTGGCTTTGCCACTTACATCATGATGTTGAGAAAGCTGAAGAACAACCTTCAGGCTGCTGTACATGGTTAGGCAAATAATTTGAGCAAAATATGCTACAAAGTTCATGTGCCTCAAGCAAGTAGAGCTCCTTAGTGTACGATGAACTAGATGACAGATGATACCGGTGGTACAGCTTCTCATGACTGACATTTTTGGACGGCGAGTGGTGGATTTTTTTTAGGTGTTCCTTCAGCCATGTCTCCATGTAAACCTTTCGCATCCATTGATCAAAAGTCTATATCAAATGAAACGAACAGATAAGAGTACTGCAGAGCTTCTTATATCGCAGGTATGTTCATGTACAATATGGGAAGTGTATTTTTCAGAACTTAAATGTTAAAACCTGGTCGTTTTACCATTTCACCGTGGCGAATTAGTACGCTTTGATTTGCGAGTGTATTTCTGGGCTACCAGCCTCAATCAAATAATATATCGGGTGTTTGTGACTACCTCTGGATTTCATATGAAACACAAACAACAAGTTTCCGCAATGTTCGTCCCAATCTGAGCTCCGTGTCGGCTTGAGGACCACCGGTATGTGGGAACTAAAACTGGTATTTAAATCACTAAATATCCACGCATGGGCTTTGTTTTGGCTCCGTCCATTACGTTGACCAACATAAGATCTTGTGTCGAAGAAAGATCAGTATCATCAGTTGTTATTCACCAACCTGTACAGATTTGAAGGCTACCTGGATGTGTTATTTGTTAAATTGTAAGGAACGGAGAATATCCCGAACGAAAAAGTCTTCTACAAATTTGTTCTCAAGCACTTCATTGCCAAAACTGAGAACACCATTGAAAAAAAAGGAATCAAATCGCGACAATACATGGAAGTCGCTTAGCTACATGACTTATGCGGATATAAATTACTGCCACTGGAAGCAGAAGGCAGTGCGTCTTAAGTACTATCTGTAGCAGTTATTAGTGGGAATGAGGTCTTCGAGTCAGTTCTCGGCACCGAATAATCACTAGCCCCAAATACAGTGCTCGACTTCGCAAGAAGGTGTCACGCGGAACTTCTTCAGTGTTTTCCACAAATCAGTAACTAAAGCTTGGGTAGTTAAACCTTTAGGTAACAGTAATAGCGGAATGGTGGTAATGAGACCATAAGTGCAAAAGATGCAAGCAACATGACCAGTAGGTAGAGCTAGTATGGAATGCACTAGCGACGATAAAATATCTTAGAAAATATTGTTATGGTGACATGATAGCAAAGTAATGACGTTGCACACTCCTCCCACAGAGTACGGTCGGGCGTAAGTGGGACAGACAGGCTAACGCTGTGCATCCAGACATCGACACCCAGTCTCTGGGTGGGCGGAGCTTACGGGACGGCTAGACTTGAGTGAGGATCATATATCGACACCCAGCGTGTAACAATAAATACCTATAGTATGTCGATGGTTGGAGTGCTGGGTCGAAATGGAAGGGTACAAAAACATCTTTTTTACGAAATAGGTGCGTAGCCATTATGTGCAACTTGAGACAGCGACTGATTTATGATATAAAAGGTGGTGAAGATTTAAATACTGCAGGATTGCTATTTGATATGAGGAACAGTGGATATGATCTCTACCATAGGAACACACGATAGCATGAAAGAATAGTAAACGTTCCCCGAATATTTACTATACCATCGTACATTCACTTTCCTGTAGTGGATCCGATCACTGCCTTCTCTATGTGAAGATTCACTTCAGTTAAAAGCTCATTTACCATCATTCAATAGAGGGACGACAGGGCTTGAAAAACAGATATTTTGCGGAATCATTCCTCTTCATGGTTAAGAAATTGAGTAAAATAAGATCGGTGTAGTGGAAGTGATGCGGTTCGTTATGAGCGAGGCACTGTTTTGACCCAGTTCAGGGGAGCCTACGAAGCATTCGATACCTCCGGGGATGAGGATTGGTGCGAGACTTGTCTGGAACCAGCTTACTCCCTTCAGTCCACAAAGGTTACTGACTGCCTGTGATGAAGAGTAGTCGAACCCTAACGGAAAACACGGAAACCTCACTCCCGAATGTGTGTGCGAGGAAATGAATCGAACCTAGCAATGGCTAGGATCCGCGCAACATTTGATAATGTGGTGTGTAAACATAATGAAGAACATGTGAAGTAGAAGCTAAAAACTGCACACTATTGGTAAACAACACAAAGAGACATTTTCAAAATGAAGGATGCCCGATCCAAAGGAAATTAAAATCGTTACGGTCATATTACCTAAGAATGATATCCATTTCTGATCATTTTAGCTGTCTTACGAATTCCTTGTTGAGTATTCCCTACCAGCTGCTTACGATGATTACCCTATTCCGCATATGCAAAATTCCTGGCTGAGACTGCACCATTACAAGACAAAGCTGTTCCACCTCCCCTCACCATCTCCGTAATGGAGTTTAAAATGGTGAAACTGGTTCTTCAAAGTTTTCACACTGTAGTGCGCAGTCAATTCTACAGATTGTGACGAAAAAAGGTAATATGCAAATTTCTCTGAGCTTTTGGTTTTGTCGAATCATAAAATGATTGTCGAATATCGATGGCATGACTACATGACTACGTTTTTACGGTTTTTTTTGTCGATGTAAAATGTCGAATCAATCGAATTGGTTTTGGTTTTTTTTGTTTTGTCGGTTTTTTTTTTTCGTTACCTATCAATGAAACAGCGAGGAGAGTCGAAGTTGGGCAAGGCGTACAAAGTGGGGCAATCGGAAGGGATGACAGTTTATGGAAAACGTTTGATGATCACTGTTCAAGTAACTTTGCGATTGCTAGACAATATTGCCACCTAGAACTTTTAATTAAGAGATCAAGAGGTCAAACAAACGATTGCGCGAAAGATACAGAACAACAGGATCGTCCAATCACACTAATCACAGAGCCTTTGAAGAAATATTTTAGAGATATAAGTGTATTCAAAACCAAACCTTACTATTCATTTTGGATGTCCAGCATGGATCCTGTGTCCAAAATTCGAAAGGATATTGGAATAAGGACGAAATTAAAATGAATCGTCTATGTGATACGGAAAATAGACATGTAGTGGAGGACAACTGAATAGAATCCAAGCGGATGGAAACACTGTCTGGGTCGATGATCTTTGAAATGTGTGAACCTGTTTATAGCTCGTGTAAACCAATTGTATTGACAGCTAGAAATGATTTATGTCACACAATAGCACGCGCAATCTTCCATGCACAAGTCATATCTCGCTGAATGATTAGAACATTCGCAACGCCTAACGTTTAGAGGATTTGGTGCAAAGAACTCTTTTCCAACATTTTTCGCAATCGATTGATAGCTCGTTCAAGTCAGATGCTGTGGCGGGTAAGAACCGGGAAGAGCACTGTTCTGAAGTTATAAATGTTCAAAAAAATGTGTACAGGTGTCGTCTCATGCGCCAGCCAGGCTAAATGTAGCGCTGTGGCGAATCTGCTAGCGCATGGGATCAAATTGATGCGAATTATGCTAGAGTCAGCACAATTCGTTAATACGACTCGTGCAAGCATCAAGACTGTCAGAGCACATTGTAAAATTGCTGGTGTCTTTAAATCTGTCTTGTTTATATAGCTGTAAAACTGCAGTAATTTGTGAAATTCTGGAAAACATAGAAGGTTTTTCTTTATGTACACACTTTATTTTTAGATTTATGACAACGCTTTGATCACATCTGGCCTTTTGAAAGACACATCGGCTATGGTGCAGAGGTTGAATAAACTTCTAACACAGTTGTCCGCTGGAGACAAAAGTACAATCTTGACACCTTAGTTGCCATTAGAAAGTGTTTAAATGCATAAGGATCAGCTGTACACTTATTTGTTATTTTCAAGTTTATCACATTGTTTCACAACCTCGGAGTATTAGTTATTCTGTTAGAATATCCCCGTCATAACTTTTCTTCCCCTTTTTTAGATTAGTTATTAATTTTGTAATAATCTGCTTCTGAGTTCTCCGGTTCAGCCATTTTTGATTGATGTTTTGCAGTGATGTGAAATGTTGTGGAATGCTACTTTGTTGTCTTCACCTACCTTCGTTTGTTTTTCCTCGTTGTTATGATAAATTACTTTTTCAACTGAATTCAACAGTAGTGGTTGTTCGAGGTGGTTCCCTCTTTTATTTGTTACCGTACCTACTTTCATGAATTTCGTATCCTTCATTCAATATAGTTTGCAGTTCCTGTTATCTTTAGTGGAGCAACTTGATCACTTCCAGATGCAGAACTTGATAGATGTGTATATGGATATGCCTCCGGTGACGAGGACATATGCGACCGCATGTGTTTTGGCGACATTGGCGGTGGTATATCTTCAAGCAGTTTTGATTTTTTTCACCTTGAATTGCTCCGTTCATTAATTGGCTTTTAGCAGCTTGACTTCATAACTCCGTTCCATCTATACTTCAATTGGGAATTGATTGTGAAGCAGTATCAGGTACATCTAAGAAGCATTATCTCTTTGCAAGTGATTCCTAGTGATTCTAATGGTTCTTTTTTGATGTTGAGCCAATGAGTGGTATAATTCTGCTTTCCTCTTATGCTTTATAAAATATTTACCAATTTGAGCGATATTCCAGCTAGTCTTAACTTCATTCGATTTCAGTTCTGGCGACTAATCACCTCATTTTGTTTCTTTGGGTCATTCGGCTTTAGTTTCATGTTCAACATGATTTTTACTTATCGCTATTGTATGATGTTAGAGGAAGGTTCGTTCCGTGGACGCAGAGCTGATTTTGTCTATATGTTTTTGCTTGGAGGAATTTTAATGGTGAGCCGTTTTAGTCGCGTTGCTTCGCTTCTTGTTCGAATAACAGAAAGTAGAAGATGTTCTTCTAGGTTTTTACGTATTTCAGATAGTAACCAACTTAAATAGCAAGGCCCAAATTTTTCGGCCTCTTAGGAATCGACTTGCACTGTTCCGGGATTAAATTGGTTACTTCATAGTTGCTATGTTTTTAGATTATATGTGGAATATTTGTGCAAATGGTATTTCTTGGTCAGGCGTTTACAATTATGCTCGTGTATGTTTGGAGTCGCAGAAACCCACATATACAAGTATTTCTTGTTTCCACTTTTTTCTTATTTTCCACTATTTTTTTTTATTCTTTTGTGATTTCTCTGTGTTGATCTCTATAGTTTTTAGATGAACTTCTTTGGTGTTCTTTCGTTTACTGCTCCTTATTTACCCTGGGTGTTGCTGCTGTTTTCTCTTTTATTGGGGAACAACGCTATCGTAGATTTTATGGGTGCGTAAAGAATGAAGAAATTATTATTATAAACTTTTTAAGACTATGTTAGCTAATAAGTTTTGTATGACAATTTTAAAAATCCATTGCTTTTCTAGTCAAAATAATGACATCAAGTACCAGATTTGTCTGGAAGAATGGCAACACTGGTTTATCGGTAGGCCACCATGAGTCATTGTAAAGACCAGATATGCATTCAATCATCTCCAACGATACTTGATGAAGTCGAATGCATGGCGTATCCCTCAGGGGTTGCTCAGCGCCGAGAGCTTTACCCTTTATAACACAATGGTATCCTTAAATACGGCGTTGATAACTTCTGCCGCATTCGCGTTGCTGCTTTCTTGCCACGGACGGAAAGATGCAGTGTAGTTGTCTTCTGCTGATCAGTGGAGTTATTTGCTAACCAATGTCTCAGTCGCCCTTGTATCCCTTTAGTGTGATAAGCTGAAGAATCTTTCAGAAATTTCTCAACTAAATTTTATAATCCTTTTTATCTGTTTATGGAAATTACAGTTCTTATTAAACTTCAGTACGAAGCTTGTTTTCAACCTAATACTTCCCGAAGTGTTTTTTTCTGAATCTGATATTTCCCACTTTTTTTTCTCAGCCTTATATTTCTTCCTGCAACCTTAGATTGCGAGTTTCTAAAGTTCGTAATGCGTCGGACTTTAAACAAAGATATATAACAAGTTAGAAACAAATTTGAACAAAGAATGTGGGTATTTAGCGTTCTTTATTTCACTTTCTTTAGGAATCGCATGTGGACATTTCTATTTCTTCCTGGAAGATGTTTTCCCATACCAACAACACGGAATGCGTTTGCTTGTGACACCTGGCTGGTTGAAGTGGTTATGTGATGAACGAACTCCTGATCCAGTACCAGAAGAAGAACGACCTGGAGGATTTGGTTGGGGTGTTGAGAATGAATGACGATACTTCAGTGCTAGTTTATTACTGAAATGATTGTACATAGTTTCTATACCGAGTTTTGCTAGTTTCAGTTACTGTAGTGTTTTCATCCAAGAATATAAGCATATTTTAGAACATAAACTGTAGGCAGAAATCAATTTACAAAACAAAAACGTCCTGGTGTATATTCAGTACAAGGTGATGTTAATTTTATTCTTATTGTAATTATTATCGAAGCTATATGTTTGGACCAGACTCCTTTATTACAGTTTTTGTTGGGAAGTTGACCTCTTTCTGTTCGTCTGTTTATTTTTGTTGGTGTTGAGATGTTTACGTGAGATATACGATAATTCTTTATCGTTTAAGCGACGTATTTTTAACAATATTAAAGCTTAATATATTAACAGGTTCGCATATAATTAACATTTTCTATCACAGTTCCAAAAGATGGTAAGGTTTTTGCTGGTATACTCATATTTGCTGTTTAAAAAAATAGCTTCAGTAAGGAAAGGAAAAGCGTACTCGTTTAAGACTGGTCTGACTTTGAAGGATTTCGCGATCGTCTCGTCTTAGACGATGGTTTTTTTGACTTCGAGGGTTTGAGGTGTACGCTGAAAATGGCATGCTATCGAAGAAGTAGTAGCTGTTGTCCGATTATGGTAAATGTACGAAAACGGATGAAAGAGATATCTCTAAGTAGTGTTTTTGCTACCAAAAGTTAAATTTTTTGACCTTTGACCTTATTCTGTGCTGAAAAGTACGGTTCTGTATCCTTTTTTTGATTTTCTCAGCGCCACTTAATTATCCTATTCTCTATTAAACTCATTTTTACCTTCTTTCTTGGGTTTCGGTGTTTAATGTGACGTTTTGATGCTGAGAATTCGGTTTTTTCAAGCGACGATTTTTTCTCGGCCGATGCTTTTCCCCGATTCCCTGAAATAGACATCGAAGACTTTTCTGAAATACACCTGATTGCTTTGGTTCTTTTGTATTGTGGACGGCATTACTGTTCAATCATTTGAACATACCTTTAACTGTTCTCCATTGTTTTCTGCACGGTTGAGATACCGTGCTTTTTGAGTTCCGCACAAAGTGATACAGAGATTAGAGTGCAGAAGATAGTCCACTAACTGAAATTCCGCTTTTCTCAGCACTTCATAGCCTGTGACTAATAGGCATTCTTATTCGGTACAAGTGATGGGCGGTCTCTCCTTGTTCTTTGACGAAAGAGTCGCTCTAATGCAATCTTTGATTGATACAAAATATGGTTGCTTGTAGAAAAAGAAGTACAGACTGTCCGTGTGGCAGTTGTCGAGCTCGTCGACTCACCTCTTGCGAGATTGACTTGTACGTGAAGACGTGCCCGTGCGAGAACGACGGACTGCTTCCAGACTGCAGTGACGTGCTCGTAGCCTCCTTATCATGAAAAGTAGTACTTGGAAGAACTCTGAACTAAGCTGCAATATCGAACTATAAATTTCGTTAAGATAATATTTGTTGCAGTATACGTTGATATGTTACGTAGAAGAATCGAATACCTTATTTTTCTTTTTTTTATACGACCCGTCTTTCACCGCTACTGTGATAATCCCAGCACTTCTCTCAGTCAATTCCTTTCCTCGCATCCATCATCGGAGGCCCTCCAACCTTTACTTGTGGTTTCGGCTGCCGCCTGAATATTGTCCTTTTATCTCGAATGTCGTTGAATGCTTGCTGATCAAGCAGATTCTCCCTGGAATCCTGAGATAGCTGAGTTAGAGCTTTCCCATTTCGATTGCAGAGAGCACTTCTTCCAGACATTTCCAGTACCGATTTCCTGGTACCGGAGGAATGTAAGGCTTGGTGAACTAGGACCGAGATCGAACTAGCACCGTGATCGTTATGATCGGTATTTCTACCACTGTGCTACCGGCCCTCCTAATTCCTTACTATATGTGAAAAGTTACTGTGAACCCACCTTTTCGATTCGCCTAGGAAGTCCTCTAGCCGACAGGATTTTCACCATAAATCTGTGTGCTTTCCCAATCTTAAACAGGATATCCTTAAAGTTATATTGCTATCCTTATATGTTTATTTACTTAATCTCCACATTACTTAATCCATAACGCACATGGGTCTGAAAATTCCTTGTTTTTTTTGTGCTTCATTTCATTCATTTCTATGAAGTCAGTCCAAACATTGCTTTAATTAGAGGAAACTTTTCTTTATTTATTTTTTATCAAACGTTGACGTAAAGCCGTAAAACCTGTTTCTTCCCATACAAATGTTCAGAACTCTTCCAGAAAAGCAAAGCAAAGTCGAAGTTGCAATGATTTTTTTCCAAGCTCCACTTTATTTATAGCAAGAATCCACTATAAAGACAAAGCGTTTGGTATTTTCTTGTTTCTTATTCAGAAGTTATCGTACCTGTTTCTCTTTTGTTTCTATTTTTCGGCGTTCATATGTATAGAAATGCAAACATCGGTATGAATGCCTAAGAAAAACTACGGAAAATGGCTTAGAGATATTTAAGATATTTAAGACAAGCAGTAAAATAGCCGCGAAAAGAGTGGGAAAATACAAAGTGCGAGTAGCTTGGAAGCCCTTTTTATTCTAGAAGGACCTGCTCAATTCAATTGCGCACTATAGGGATGATTCAGCAATCCATTGGACACGGTGTGCTTTATTTTTTAGTAGGAACATAGTTCATAATGGAGGTAGGATAATGTGTAGTCTCATGATCTGTTGCGGGCCGTCCACGTATTCTGCCTGTAGTTCCTTGCCGGCGGTGTTACACTGCGCCAGCAACACCGAGATTTCTCCATGCTCATTTCGTGAATCCCAATCATCTAACACATTTGTTCTTAAATCAAAATACGCTTTTATAGTCCATTGTATTTGAAATGAAAAAACGGGACGCGTGTAGCGCAGCGATTGGAGGCGCCCTGCAACACATGAGTCTATCCCCCGCACCCATGGCCCACCAAGCCTTCTATCCCTCCAGGGTCGCAAATTATTACCAAACTTGCCTGGGAGGACAACAGCATTGGTTCGATACATCGGTAGGCCACCGCGGGTCATTGTAAAGGCCTGATATGCATGCAATCACCTTCAAACGATGCTCAATGAAGTCGAATGCCTGGTGCATCCCTCAGGGATTGATCAACGCCGAGAGCTTTATCCTTTTTTATATTTAAAATTTGAGGAAGGCTTGGATCATTCTATCGATATGTCGACAAAATGCACCCTTAATTATTTGTTATTGATTTTTTTCTGATTACTGACTAAGACGGTTGTCCCGTTATCCTTACCAAATTACTTTCAGAAAAGGGGACCCGTGAGGGCAACCGCAACTTGTTGACAGCAGATGATGACATCAGTAGTTCCTGAAATAAACTCGACATAGACAAGGTCGGGTGGAACTCCGTACCTTTGATCCTCGGCAAATATTCAGCTTTTTGAGACAGGTTAATGTGAAGCAGAACAGAAACGGATTGGGCATATGATGAGAAGAGTCAACGACACATGGACGATAATAAGATATACTGAGCTGCTCCAAGAGAACTCAGGCGTCCTCAGTAATTACTTTGAGATAGAGGACGTTGTTGTTTTTCTCAATCGGCTGTTTCCGCAGATAGGTCCAGTTTATGAGCTGCGATACTTTAAAGCACTACCATCCATGCATGAAACTGGCCACACCAAAAGACTTCGACCACGAGGGAATAAAGTGGAGCATAACTGCATTGAAGCTCGTGCGATCCGTCAGTGTCGATTAGCTATGTGTCTAATTCACAGGAGATCGAAAACAAGAACTGAACTAAGGGATCAATTATGAATGAAAATCCAGGCTTAGTGCTGAAATGAGTGCATTGGAAGGCATATTTATGTCTTTACCAAAAGCATCGACGATCGGATGCGTTTCTTCTGAGTTCATAACATAAGCAAGTGGCTGCAGGAACACTATCGCCGTTCTCAGAAGTCTTCGAATCCGGAGCTTCGTAAAATGGATCACGTACCTTGAAATTTTCTAAAATTACGAATTCGAGATTCACTCGTTGTTTAATTTGAAATGGCTAAGATTTTAGAGTAGATGCAATGTTTTTATGTCCACACATCGTTTCTATTTTGGTTACCTTCTAATTTGTGGGCTTATTTCCTCGGAAAAAATCACGTTCACCTAAGACATGTCATATGGACTGAATATGGAAGAATCTATAACTATATCAGAAGATAGAACTAGCTGAGAGACAGGCAAAACGAAGGACCCGGATGGTGTGGTGGTGAAGTGCGCTGCTCCCCGATAAGGACAACAGCGCGTGTTTGTTCCTCACCGCATACACCTGCGATCCGGAGCTTTGCAAATATCTCAGCATTACATACGAGTTATATTTCGCAACATACTCTGCCATGAAAAAGAAAAAGGCAGTAAATAAGAGGGTTAAGATTGTGATTATATCAGAAGAACTAAAGACTTTAGCTGTTTCTGTTTCTGGATTTGAGAAATCATGCGCTGCTCTCTAGAAGATCGCTAGATGATCAAACTTAAACTTCAATCATTTTTCTTCGGTGTTCCAGTTTCTTGCAAAAACGAGATTTAGCGTACAAGGAGTTTGTCTTAGTCATCCCTTGCGCCATCGAATGAGTTCGAAGTGTCGGAATTTGGCCTACCTTTGGCAGATCCCATTCTTCGCGCTCCTGTTTAATCTTGTACGTCTTGCATTCCATAGTAACGGTTCATGAAACGTGCCTTCTCCCACATAAATCGTGTGTCTTGTGCCAGATTATGAACGTTCAGGCAGATCTCAAATCGTTCAATACAGTTCATTTCCATGAAATTTGTTATAAACATCTTTGATTCACAGAATGTTTACGAGGACATGAACATTTAAACATTTTCACTGGTTACTCAATTAATTTTGCCATTCTGATGTGTACGTTGTATTGATCTGTCCCTCAATTTAGTGGTTCTCTACATAGAAATAAGTCATATCTTATAGAAAGGTCAAATGAGCTCAAACACTTTTCAGAGGTATTTAAAAGGCTTCCCTTGAAGTTATTCCGAAACACCAAAAAGATTTCATCCATATTTCATTTACACGCTCACTGACAATACCCAGAGTCATCCCAATGTTATGGTATTGTGCAAATCTTGGATGGGGTCGCCACCGTAACCCGATGGAGCTATTCAAGATGTTCTTCTCCTGACGCGATAAACTTCTACAAATCCCGTTAATTCCCATCAAAATTTACCAATTTAAATTAGAAGCCAGTCATCTTTCTTATAACTTTTTTATCAACGAATTATCATGTAGTTAAAGTTAGGTTTTCAATTTCGATTCGACTTCGTGGGAGTGTTTGTCTGCAACTCTAGTGACTTTTCCAGTACTGCACTACGTCAAGGACGAGAGAAGGTTTTTACGCTCTACTCTCAATTTTATTGTTCTGTTTCATTGTACTATTAGCTATAGATACACTACTTCTTTGTTACCTCAGTGAGTCCCTCACGAATGCCTCGCATTTCTGGTGAAACTAGTACCAATTCAAATTTCACGTTTCTGTTCAACTCCACAGCGATCGCATTCGCACGGTAAACCAACGACATTATCGAGATCAGTTCCTCTTCCAGAATAAGGTCGGCTGAAAATTTTGCAATCAATTTGCATATTAAGCTTGAACCTGGATATTACCACGTACTGTCAAGTATACGTCGCAATTGACTTCACGGTTGACATTTTTGGAAGCTATCGCTAAAGCGGATTTGGCTCATAAAGGTACTGCAGAAGCTGATTTGTTTCAAAGCTAAGGATTCACAAAGATTGAATAGTTTGTTAGTGCAGGACCAAAAGTTCCGTGCTCGTGCCGAATTACCCATTGTATTTATTCACATTCAACAAAAGCGATGCTGAGATATTCGCAAAACTCCCCGCACCGCAGGTGCCTGCGGTGGGGAGCGAACGCGCTATTACCCTTTCCCGGGGCTGACGTGTTCACCACCACACCATGCGGGTCCCTCGTTTTGGCTGTCTCTCGGCTAGTTCTATTGATCAGTGCCATCAGAAAATTGTAGTAGGCAGAAAATAAAAAGTAAAATATTTACATTCAGTTCCAATGCTACATTATTGATGAAAAGTTTAATATATCATGTTACGTATACTTATACGGAGAGATTGAGGATGAAGACTAACCTTTGCTCTTGTTTCCTCCATTGATGATTGCGATACCTGCTCCTTGTGCGATCTCCTTCTGAGCTGCCTCATAGGTGTTATGCGTACGAGCACCACTTTTTATTGGATTATTGAAAACGTATAGGTGATTCCCACCGAAGAGTATCATGAAAAAACAAGCCCTGTTTATTGACAACAATAGGCAATGAGTTCATTAAGCTTCTGGGCATCCTGAAATCACATAAGGACCAACGGATATGTTGGAATTGAACGCAAAGCGAACTTTCTGGTTGATGAGAAGGGTTAGCGCAATAGTTAGTGATTCAGTCTCTCAGGAAGCAAGGTGCTGGTTCGGTCTATTCCCCTACATTCTCCCTTATTCCACATGGGAACGCCTTAGCTCGTCCATTTCCAAGACTGCGAGGAGAATAGATTCGATCAACATTCTACGGCATTAATGAGATGAATTCCTCGAGCAACAGCCGAAAAAGAACACGAAATGTTTGAAGACGTTTGTGAAGAATGAGTGCGAGGAAAGAACGAATCCAATGCAAGAGGTGCAGGGATCCGCACAGTAGATATGATGACGGGTCATGTAAAATAAAAGAATAATAGAGAAAATAATGGTGGGGAAGGAAAGAGAAGGAAGGTTGTGGATCGCTAGAAATATAAAACTATAAATTATAGTAAATAAAACTAAATTTATAGTTCTGACTAAATCAGATTATCTGTAATACATTTTCTTACGAACTGCCCTTATTGATCTGATACGAGGTTTGTATAACTTACCGTTGTTGTTCGATAGCTGAAGTTTCGGCGACTTTAACTTCCTCAGAGCCACTCGTCATCCCACATGAACAACACATGGGGTATCCCACATGCAACAGCACGACTCTGAAGAAGGTGAGGCCGCCGAAACGTCAACCAGAGAAAAACAACGGCAGCAACAACGGCAACTTACACCAACCTCGCATCAGCTAAACAAGGTCAGTTCACAATAACACATATTATAGATATATGGATTATTTACACCCAGGTTTGTGGAAAATCGGTTTTCTGAGTTATTAAATCATGAGTGGTTAGCGTAAAAGAATCCCTCCTAGTTTCCTTCTTGCCTGACATGCTGTAATTGTGATATTTTGTTCTTCGTGTTCTCTACAATCGCATGTTTAGGAAGCGTTGACAGGCCGTTAAGTTGTACCGTAGCTGTCGGCACGGCTGTTTTATTCCCTTTAAGCAGTTCGTTTTTTTGTTGCTTCGTTATTAGTCTTCTTTATACAGTTAGATGAGCTTGCTAGAAAATAGAAGCCTAAAGAGAAAAGGGAGAAATCATTCCATTGGTACTCTCTTTTTTTCAACTGAACAATTGAGACGACTTGTAAGTCGTCTTCGATGAAAGATATATTAAAAATACGAGGAAAGTGTAAGATAAAAAGGTGGCAAAGAAAAAAAACGGAACAATAAAGAATAAAGCTCTTGGCATTGATCAATCCCTGAGGGATGCGCCATGCATTCGACTTCACTAAGCATCGTTGGAGGTGATTGAATGCATATCTGGCCTTTACAATGACCCGCGGTGGCCTACCGATGTATCGATCCAGTGCTGCTATCCTCCCAGACAAGTCTGGTACCAATTTCGCGACCCCGGAGGGATGGAAGGCTTTGTGACCTTTGAGGGCGGGGATCGATTTCACCTGTGTGTTGCATGGCGCCTCCAACCACTGCGCCACACACACGTCCGTGTTCATGACAGAACAATGTGAAGTTGAATATCATGTTCAGCTCAACTGCAATAACACACAATTCTCAGAGAATTTCATATGCTACTTTTCTCACTAACTTACAAATTTTGATTAAAATTTCCAATTTATGATTGAAGTACAATCGAAATCAAAACTAAACATCAGAGGTAAAGATGAGGACAGATCACTTTCAGGTTTTCGTGGAGCTTCACTGATGCCTTCGAGCCGTACAGTTAGACATTTCTTATCATTTAGCGAATAATTCTTATTCACCGCTAACTAAGTTTCATTTCTTTTTGTTTTTATTTGTACTCAGTTTTCAGCTTAGTTCAAATTGAGAGAGATGAATGGAGGAGGTAATAGCACAGTGGCTAGTAATGCAGTCCATCAGAAAGCAAAGTACTGCTTCGAACCCCTCCCTAACGCTTCCCACCAATACATGTCGAAACAGGCTATCTCCAAGATCGCAGGGGGGATCGACTCGGCCAGAATTCTATTGTAAAGAAGACGAAAACCCTTAGTAGCAGCCAAAACAGTACGCGAAGTGTTCGAAGACCATTGTGGACGATAAATGCGAGAAAACGAATCGAATGCAAGAAGTGTTAGGATCGGTACAGTAGATGTGACAGGTCACAAAATTACAATAATATATCTGCTTTTGTTTATCTATAGTTCATCTTGCATTCTAATAACAATACTTCAGCATCCATACCTATAGTGACTTCCCCAGGTGGTAAAAAGTGAACGATCACGTTAGTTGGAGCTGGACCCTCGTTCAGATTCCAAAGATGCGGAATTTTTCCCTGTTTCAAAATTATTAGACATTCAGCAGCCGCGTTGTTTTTTAAAGATATTGTTTTATGGAATATCGTACACATTCACATGAGTTAAGACTGTGTAAATTAGAAAACAGTCCTAAAAGGATGAAAGGGTAAAGTTCTCGGCGATGATCAATCCCCGAGAGACGCGGCATGCACTGGACTTCATCATGCATCGTTAGAGCTGATTTAATGCATATCTGGCCTTTACAATGACTCGCCGTGGCCACCGATGTATCAAGACAGTGATCGTCCCAGAAAAGTGTGGTACCAATTTGCCGACCCTAGAGAGATGGAACACTTGGTGAGCCTGGGGCGCAAAGATCGATTTCATGTGTATCACATGACGTCTGTAACCGCTGCGCTACAGGGGCTCTGAAGAAAACAATTCTAGGAATAATAAATGAGGAAGCGCCGGTAGCGCAGTGGTTGAGATTCTGTTCAATATATTCAGGCGGCTTACTAGACTTTGCACCAGTTAACCAAGGCTCACAACTCTTGAAGGGTTTGGAAATTGATGCCAGAATTGCTTTCAAATCTATCTCCTATTCATGAAGACTGGAGAATTACTGATGTTAAGTCAATGAAGAATAGACTCGATCGTCATTCGTCCAGATTCATACAGAAGACCGAAGGGGAGGAGTGGAACGTAGGAAGTGAGAAATTCGCACATTCTATAATGGTCAGTGCAAAAAAATGAAAACAGGACCCATGGATTTTCTTCATGTTAAGGGCTTTTAACCGATTAATGCGGAAGATGCTTCGTTCTTAGGTGATAGGTGATCCTCTACATGATTCTGGCCAAAATTCTGAAGTCAGAGAAAATTTCGTATGAGTGGTTTGGGGTCGACTCAAGCAAATGGTAGTCTTTATCTTACTTAATCAGAATTGCTCGACAAAGTTCAGTAGGAATACCACATCCCTCCTCTCTACAAAAACGAAATAAAGCCTTTGATAGAAACAGTGTGATGCACTTCATAATCCTTCAGTGGTCGAAGCCAACGGACATTTTTTTGGCGCGTAAGAGTAGCGAGTGAAGAATTTACTCCTGCCTTTATGGGTTATTTAATAATAAACAAAATTATACATGAATAGCTGGAAAGCGAAATCTGGATTATTACCTATCGAATAAAATAAATATAAAGGATAATGTTCTGTTGGCTCAAATTATTTACCTACGCTGTATGTCACTGTTTATGCCCTACAGATTTGCAGTATTCTTTTATAACATCGGCATGAATCTCCAGGGACTACTACCCACCTTTGCCGCTTCTTCGGCGACTTTCTCTTGTCAGGTTTGTCCATCTTAGCCATTCCCTTTTGATTCTGTTCCAGTTGGCGACGCAGCGATTCTATCAGCTCCTAAGCAGTGAACATTCACAGGCTCCCTTCTTAACTTTTGTGTGTCCGAGTAACTAGCAATTTTTTGAGTGACGTTATCTCCTCCTCCTTTCAGGTGCTTTTGAAGCCGTTTATTCTCGTCTCGAAGCTCTCTCATAATGCGTTCCACTGGTTCTCGTTCACTACCGCTTTCGCCTTTATTTACTTTGCACGGTTGGCGAACCTAAGGCAAACTCTTCATGCGATTTCTTCGTAATATATGTTTATATTTGACTGTAATTTGAGATAACTGACATTCCGTACTAGAGTGCTAAAAAATTTTCATGTGACGCAGATGTAGGCATAAAAGACAAGATTCAAGTATTGACGAAATAAGCGGCAATGCGGAGTAGTGAGGTACGGTAGGTCACAAGGAAATAGACCCATGACGCCCGATGATAGTCTTTCGGAAACTGACGACAATTCCTCAAGCACCAGGATATTTGAGGGATTTGAGACTTCGAAAGTTTATGAAACATAGCTTGCTCTGTCGCCACTGTAGTATATATGTTTGTCTCGTTTGTATGGGGGACTTGTTTGTCTCATCGGCTAAGAAGGGAATTTTCAGGAATTTCATCAAATTTCCGATGTCCTAGTGAGTTCGATGTCTGATGACGTTGCAGTTATGCTTTATTTCCGTTGATAACAACCTACGATAACTCTATGTGACGGCCAAAACGTTTTGATTATTTTATATGCTGGGAAAAAGCATCATTTCTTCTCCACTTCTACACAAATATCTCTCGTTCAAAGGATCGACTTTCTCTTAACCTCGGCATTGGAATATGAATGTGTCGTTTTCTTGTTCAGCAATCACGAGGTTTTTAAACAGCATACATTTACTTCCATAAAAACACAATACAATACAACGCTAGCTGACGTTTCGGCAGTATCGCCTTCTTCAGAGCCGCTTTTTCGTGACTTCCAATGAGGAAGTTTAGAACAGCTGATTATAGTCGCATGTGGTTGACGACTTTCAGGAATTTCATCAAATTTTCGACGACTGAGTCGTCAACCACATGCGACTATAATCAGCTGTTCTAAACTTCCTCATTGGAAGTCACGAAAAAGCGGCTCTGAAGAAGGCGATACTGCCGAAACGTCAGCTAGCGTTGTATTGTATTGTGTTTTTATGGAAGTAAATGTATGCTGTTTAAAAACCTCGCGATTGCTGAACAAGAAAACGACACATCTCTCGTTCACTCTCTTCTACTTTTTATTTCAGGGAA